TACTATTAGCTAGAACTGACCTTGATTATATCCCCAAAGACTGAACCATAAACTTTGCTCAAGTTAGTGAATAAAATACATTTATTTATAGTTACAAGCCAGTGAATTGGATCTCAAATGAAAGAGTATATCAAAATGTTCCCTGTTATTATTTTGTATGGGCAACAAAGAATTAATTGCTCCACAACACTTGAGGTGCAAGAAATGTCACAGTACTTTGCCTTTGTAAAAATCAAATCAAAGCTAGAACTGAAGCTATTTATCTAGTTTAATAAAAAGCCCAGTCTCAGAGCTTCTTTCCTTCTTTCTTAGGTTGTGGCAGAACCTAGGATTACACTGCCTGGAAAATGGGGAGAGGACATTCTGCTCATTGATCTACTGTCTTTAATTGATGAAGACGTTCTTGGGTGGATTAAGGGTAAACTCAATCCACCCACAGGACAAAAAAATCCAGAACCAGAGAACACAAAGGCATGCAGGGGGGAAAACAAGTTTTCATTCTTTAGGTGATTAATCAATAATATCAAGAAAAGACAAGACACTGATATATTTCTTAATAACTTTCATTTCATATGCAATATGAAACATTTGAGTAGAAAATGATCATTCCCCCTTAATTCTCCTCCTTTCCCTTTCTTAACTGTCTAAGAGTCTGTTTCCACTGAGGGCTGGTCAGTGCAATTAGGGAGCCAGTGAGAATAAGACGTTCCAAGAGGTTTTCAAACCATATTAATGAGATTTTTGACACAATGCTTTCTGAGTTGAGAGTAATAAGGTTTTCTTTTCACCTCTTCAATGACTTCAGAATCATTTTAAAAGTTTTCTTCATATTTGCCACAGAAAAATGGGCTAAGTATTTTAGATTCAACTTTGACTTGTCCTGTTAGATAGTAAAAGGAAGGAGGGATGGAAGGAAGAAAAAAAAGGATGGAAAGGAGGGAAGGAAGGAAGAGAGGGAAGGACAAAGGCAAAGAGGAAAAGAAAAAGGGAGGGTGGAGGGAAGGAGGGAAAAGGGAAAAAGGAAGAGAGGGAAGAGGAAGAGATGAATGAAGGAAGGCAGGAACATCAATCTAAATAAAAGATGACTAAGGATAAAAAACTCAGATTTCATTGCAACAAATACAAATCTTATTCTAAATATCATTTTACCTTTAAAAAGATACAATTTCAAAGTCTTTTAGGAAGTCTTAGATTTGAAGACTTGGGAGGTGCTGATTAAGTTTGTTTTATTTGGGGGCTGGCCCTGTGGCTGAGTGGTTAAGTTCGTGTGTTCCCCTGCAGGTGGCCCAGTGTCTCATTGGTTCGAATCCTGGGTGCGGACATGGCACTGCTCATCAAACCACGCTGAGGTGGTGTCCCACATGCCACAATTAGAAGGATCCACAACTAAGAATATAGAACTATGTACCGGGGGGCTTTGGGGAGAAAAAGGAAAAAAATAAAATCTTTAAAAAAAAAAAGATTGTTTTATTTAAACTTTGGCTTTAAACCATTAGAGAATATGAAGGCTCTTTATTTGAAAAAGTCCTATAAAATCTTTGTGATAATAACCATAAGGATGCTATTGAGGATTTTGTTCATTGCATTAGAGCGTGACATTTTTATGAGGCCCATCTGAAGGAGTTTCTTCACCAAGTAGTAACAATACAAGTTGTGTTTCTCCTTTATCTTCATACATACTACATGATATCAATGATGATATCATTTTTCCTTGTACTACACTTTAGAAAGGTCACAGCCGTATCTGTGGCTCTCCTTGGACGTGTCCCAGACCTCGTGTATGCTCAGGTTTTACCCATCTCACCTGGCTTGTTCTTATGTTCTTGTGCTTTGGTCCAAGGAAATATGTCTTATTGCTAATATGGTATCAGTGAAGAAAAGTTAATTTATATTCCATATCTTATTCTAAAATCACAAATAACTATGATTTATATATTATAAGGGTTTCCCTCTAAAATGTTTAAAATCAAAAAGCAAACACAAAAATATATATACAGGGCTTTTGATTAAAAGGAAAAATTCTACCCAGAAAATGTTTTAATCCGGAACAACTTATTTTTCTGAGAGTTCCAGGTAGTAAAGGTTTTAGTCTATTTAATGAAGGAAGTCCTTTGTTCCTCCAAAGACTCATTCTATTTAATAAGCAGTCCCACATGTAGGGTACAGCAAAACAGGAAATGTATTGCGCAATAAAATGTATAAATGACATACTGGTTTTATAGCATGACTAATCTTAGGATGAAGAAAATGCTGGATTTATAATAATCAACTCTGTTTCCATTCAACTGCTTTCTATGAGAAATTCAAATCAAATTATGCTAAATAGCAATTAGTTATAAACTCTTCAGAGGAATTATTTGGTTTTATTTCCAGTAAAAGCCAAATCTTCATAAAAACCATTAATTAGTGTATCTTTTGTCTCAGCAGGGAAACTAAGAGTTGAGCCCTTGAACTTCATTTAACTTTCAAAAGGGTCTCTGCGGGTCCAACTGAAATGCTCTGGAGGAGTGGGGGTGGATGACTCAGGACAGAAGATATCCCGGAAAACCAAGATGAAAATGGTTGCTGATGCAATTTTTTGGACACTAGTCAAATCAGCCTTGTCAAGTTGTAAAATTCCTCCTCTTTATTACCCTATAATGTATACAGTGGACATCCCTGACCTTTACTTCATCTCCAGCTCCCACCTCCATTACACAGGGTTTTATTTTCTGTATTTGAAGTTTTTCAAGAAGTATGAAGTTAATATCCGGGGAATCATCAGTTTTCTACCAGAATCCGTCATTATAAATCAGCTTCAGGTAGACCCTCTCTCTTAGTTTCCAATCGCTGTTGTAACAGATTACTACAAACTTAGTGGCTTAAAACAATAAGAATTTGTTATCTTTGAATTCTGGATGTCAGAAGTTGAAATCAGTTTCACTGGCTGCATTTAAGCTGTCCGCAGGGCTACATTCCTTCTGCAGGCTCCAGGGGGAATTGGCTTCCTTGCGTTTTCCAGCTTCTAGTGGCCAGTTGTATTCCTTGGCTTGTAGCCTCTTCCTTCATCTTCAAAACATATTATGCCACTCTCTGCCTCCATCATCACATCACTTTCTCCTCTAACTCTGACTCTTCTTAGGTCCCTTTTACATGGATCCTTGTGAGTATATCAGGCCCACTCAGATAATCTAGGATAATATCTCAATCTCAAAATCCTTAACTTGATTACTTCCAAAAGTTCCTTTTGCCTTATAAAGTAATCTTCACAAGTTTCAGGGACTGGGACATAGATATATCCATCATTATTTAGTCAATTATAGTCCACACTCTGGCTACCAAAGATTTACATCCATCTTACACGCAAATACATTCACTCCTGTAGGACAGCAGAATTTGTCACCCCAAAAAGTATCTCTTTGGCTTATTTTTAAGAATAAAAGACTCAGGAAGAAACTTTGACCTTCCTCGTAACTGCCTAAAAGAATTTGAAATAGAAAGCCTGTTCCAGGAAGGAGCTATCACCATAGATAACTATAGTATAATATGAACTGGGTGTGGTAGACAGGGAGGAACCTAGCAAGGCCCATTTGATCAAAGTCCTCTCCAGGTCTCTTTGTCTCTGCATGCAAGGCATGGCAAGCATTTGTTTACCAAACATTTGCTTTTCCATCTCCCTGTGAATTGCCTTCCTCTCCTTTGAAGGCCCAAATCACTACCCCTAACATCTTCTTTTGTCTTTAGCTAAAGATGATATTTAAGGTGAGGGCTGCAGCTATTTTGGCAAGTTATTCAGTTTTCCTGGGTTTCTCTCATGTATACATGTTATTAAACTTTGTTTGATTTTCTCCTATTATTCTGTCTTATGTGAATTTAATTCTCAGACCAGCCAGAAGAACCTAGAAGTGTAGAGGAAAATTTCTTCCTCCTCTATTCCTATTCCAATATCCCACAGAGTCTCAACTATTACAGCATCAACTCAAAGTAAAAACTCTCATCTAAATATCATCAGCTCACAAGTCCCAAATCTCATCATCTAAATCGTCTAAATCAGGTATTGATGAGACTCTGGGTATGAGCTATTCTGGGGCAAAGTTCCTCTCTAACTATGGACTTGTGAAATTAGAGAATAAAGGATCTTCTCCCATAATACAATAGTAGAAGAGCACAGGATAACAGTTCTAGACATCCTCATTCCAAAGAAAAGAAAATGGAAGAAAGAAAGGAATCACTGGTCCTAAGCAATGTCAAATCCAACTGGGTAAACTCCATTAGGTTTCAGTGGCTGGGAATAATCCTCTGTGGTTTGCACTTCTGCCCTCTGGGTCTTTACTCCACCCTTAAACCACCTCATTCCCAATTTCCATGAGGGTGGGAGGGGGAGTAGGGAGTATTTGGTGGCATGTGCCTCAGGGATAAAAGGAAAATGCCTATTCTGCCTACCACATACTAATAAAATGCTGAAAATAATGCTTGGTTTTTAAAAAAATGTACAACGTATAAAAATGTCCTCAGATCAAATTGCTCCTAGCAAAAAGACCACTTCAAAGCATCCCCCCAATAAAAAGACCCCGGCTTCCATAGGGCTGCATCAGAGCTGCAGTAGCAAAATATCAGGTACACATCTGGAGTAATACATTTTTTAAAAACCTGTCGCTATAACTATATACTATTTCAGAAACACAGCAGAGCACACCTCGTGTAATAAAAAATTTGGTTAGGGCAGTTTTATTTCTGAACTAAATGAGATGATTACATTGGGATAATCTGGCTTTTGTAATGACACACGAAATTTAGAACTGCCCAAACTCTTCTGCATAGATACAGAGAACAAAATGTTTGACCTAAAACTATGAATGTTTAAATCAAAGGAGGAGGAAGTTAGTTTAAAAATTTTTTCTGACCCCAAATATTTGTGGGATACAACCTCATTGCAAATCTTTTAAATTCAGAGGTAGATGGAGCCTTCGTTGTTCAAAGGTAAACACTAAGGTAGCAATTTATTTTGCTATTTACTTTGGATTAATTTCACAGCTAGAATTGAATAAGAAGAACGGCTTGTTTATTTTAGATAAGAATTGTAACTAGAACAAAGTTGTGACGTCTGTGGAATGGGAGCCATCTCTGCCTCTAATTCAACAAGCTGGCTCCAGTAATAGAAGGGGAAATTTGGTCGTATGACATATGCAGAGTAATAAGTTGTAAAAAATAAATTATTATATTTAAATATAATGATAAAGGACAATATTGTTCACTCCATATCCAATTTAGAATAAATTAGAACAAAGTCAAGAAGTGGCTAAGGGCTTTAAAACATGTCCAGTCCATTTATTGCCTTAAACTCCTATCCTATGTAATGAGCATTAACAGGCGTTATACATAGGCCTGCAGCTGAAAAAAATACCACATTATGTCAGAAGATTTTGTTGAGATGATCTCCAAAAGGTTACACTGTGGGTTTGTCTCGTTGAAAGCAGAGCATCTTTACTGAGTGAGACAGAATAATCCCTAATTTCAAAAGGAGGAATGTAGGAAGTTAAATTGTTTTCATAATCATTTACCTTTTTAAAAAGGCTTGTACAGTGGCATTTATGTTAAAGAAAAGAAGTAAGGGCTATGTAGACTGACCTGTGGTTGTTTTGCTTTCTACTATGTCTTTGTTTCATGGTATGTTTCTGTCAGGAGAGAAACAAAATGTGAAAGAGATCCATGCTGACTTCAATGTCCAATTCCAACCCAGAATCCATTCTAAGCATCCACACTCTCCCTGCCCTTGAACATCTTGGTGTTGTCTAAACCACTCTTAATGAACCTTGGTGCTTAGGAGGGTTTCTGCCAGATCACAGATGTGTTTATAAAACAAACAAACAAACAAAACACAAAAACCACCACCAATAGAAATATTTCTTAATGATTCGCTTCCAGTCTAGAAATTTATGGCTTTTTTAGAAGTGTTCATTCTAAAGGAGAGTATGTTATGAGATATCCATTGATATCATATGGATTATAAATTACTTTTGGCATGACTGATTTATGTTGAATTAAAATAAAAAGCAATATGCTGAGTCAAAAAATGTATTAAAATACCATCTCTGTTATCTTTAAGTTTTAATGTTCTTTTGAGCTATTTTATGTTGTTTTCCGAAAAACTAAAGTTGTCTAAGATAGAGTAGCTATTTAAAAATATTTATTAACCAAGTAATTTTAATTACATCTCATTTGATTTTAAAAATAATTCAACTTTAGAACAACGATAATACATCTCAAGATATGTTTCAAAAATTAAAATCTATAATGATTCTTTTAACTCTGACCTTTCCCTCCCATGGATAATATTAAAGCCACAACCACTGAGACTATTTTTTTTTTTTTACCATGAGTTGAGCATCAAAATTACCCAGAGCAGTTTGAGATATAATGGATGACATTCTTGTGCACAATGAGCTTTCATTCTAAACAAGAGAGATGAAAGAAGCAAATCAACCCACTGAAAAGACGTATATATCCGTAAAGTGACAGAGCACCATATTTGGGGGATTTTTTTTTTCTTTGCTTGGCCTTTTTCAGATTCTTCCATATTCCCGACCCTTTTGTCAGTTGCAGAGCAGGGGGGGAAAGGTATTTCTCGTCTAGGTTACTTGCAGGCCTAGGGGAAGAAGAGAGGAATGAGAAGGTCACAGTAACAACGGTGGTCTGGCTGCACAGAGCAAACGCCACAGAAGAATGTTCTATGCACAGGACTGACGAAGACTATGGAGTTCCACAGAGACCAAAAAATCAAGTCTGAGAAGTTTGTAGGATAGAGTCGATATTTAGTCACTTTTAAAACGTGTACACTTGCTAATCAGATTCACCCTCACCTTATTCAAAGTGGGATGATAGTTAAGGTTACATCATTTAACAATTCAACAAGCATTTACTGCACGCTTTCACTGTCCAAGGTCTGCTTTAGGTGCCAGAGATCAAAAGTTGAGACAAAGTAGATCCCACTCTCCCTATAGAAGTTACAGTCCATTTACAGTAGGATGCAAAATAAACCACAACTAGGATTGGAAAAATGGGGATTAAGTTCTCATAGACAAAGAACCAAAAAAATGTAATGGTAGTTGGGAGGACAATGCTCTACAGTATTGATCCTGTAAAAACAGGAAACTTTGAAAGCTCACATTTGCCATAAAAATCTATTAGATCCAGTTAATCTAGACTGAGCTTTAGCAAAATTACACCCACCTAATGAAAGCTATCATTAAAGACATTCATTATTCTTTCATCAGTTATTCCCAAGATTCGTACAAGTGTTCTTCATCAACTGATTTATTAGGCCTAAAACCCAGTATTATAAGGTAATTCTAAGTCTTATCAAAGCAGTGAAACTGTTATGTAAAAGTTTCTGAATAATAAGTGAACTGTACTAAAGGAACAAAAAACAAGCTCCAGGGAGCTCACAAAGTTAAAAAATAATCATGATACAGTAACCATGGAACTATAATTACAACTGCCACATAAATATACTGTTATCCAGTTCGCTCACTCATCTGCATAGCATTGCTGTATTCTGAGGGACAGAATTTCTACAATACAATAGAACTTAGTCATGCCTATGAGGGTAGATGATAGGATTGAGTATAATAATCTCCATCTTTGGGAAGCCAACAAACCAGATTCCTTCACATAGTATTTACATTCCTCTCCCTTCAGTAATTCACAATGACAGAGGAGAGAAATTTTGTCTCAAAGCAAGTTTCATATTACATATACCTATATATTACATATATGTATTTGTACATATATTACATATACATACATAATTACAGTGCCATGAATTACATAGAAAAAGGATCTTAAATAGAGAAGATTTTTCCATTTTGCCCAGGACCTGGATAGGGGGGCTGAGGGATAGAAGAAAAGGACATAAGAACAGAATATCCAGAAAAACATGGTGATAAAGAGAAGGTAGTGATGTTTAGTTTGAACAATCTCCAAACGTGATGCTACTATGTGCACTCCAGTTGATGATGGTTTCTGCTTGGAGCCTGGGTCAAAGCCTGAGAGCTTTAAAGAGAACCTTCTTCTCTCAATATACCTGATGTTCCGTCTCCACTGGCAATCAGAAGAGCAGGAGAGGAAAAAAGTAAATTATTTTGGCAGGAGAGAACAAGCTCATTTTCTTCAAAGAAGTGTGGTGTACCACTGCTGGCAATTTCTGGAAGAGGCAAGATGAGGGTCATGTACACTGGGAGCAACTCCATTAGCTCTTGCCTCATTTCCTCTGTATCTCTATACCCCCTCAGACTTGAATCAACTATTTAGCCCCAGCTGCACACAAGTCTAGTTCCGGTCCACAGGATAAATCCTAGTGGAGCAGCAAGCATGTGAATAGCCTTAGTCTTACCTTCTACTGGAGCTTGGAGGCTATTGATAACCTTAGTCCTGGGGCTCTACTTCATTGATATTTCATCCTTTCCTCCACAATGGTCCCATGTATAGGTCTGGGATTCTGCTTTGATCTCTCCTTAATATGGCTGCTGTCTCTCTTGGAATGGGGCCATTTCCAGAACCTCTTCTCATGGGGTTGTTCTCTAGATAACTCACCTGTCCATTGCCTTTTCCGGTAGGTGGCAGGAATTTGCTTCTCATGCCACTGGTCTCTGACTAGGTTCCTTTTACAAATAAGCAAATTTCCTACAACAATGATGCAATTGAAGTTGACCATACAATCACCCAGACTTTCCCATTTCTGGGTCCTGTTCATGCATAGGATATTCCTATGCTGCCTTCTATTATGCCTTGAGTTATTTGGTTGACCTCACTTTAGGTAGCATCACCAGCGGATTAATTTGCACAATCCTCAGCAGATGCTTTTGAATGTGGCTCATCTTACTCTTAGAGTAGTTAACAGGCATGCCAGTTACTCAAACTAACACTGAAATGCAGTCATGTATTTCTTCCTTTTTTGGAGGTGTTGTTGTTGTTGTTGTTGTTTTTGGTGAGGAAGATTGGCTCTAAGCTAACATCCATTGCCAATCTTCCTCTTTTTGCTTAAGGAAGATTGTCACTGAGCTAATATCTGTGCCAATCTTCCTCTATTTTGTATATGGGATGCTGCCACAGCATGGCTTGATGAGCAGTGTGCAGGTTCACACCCAGGATCTGAACCTGTGAACCCCAGGCCACCAAAGCGGAGTGCACAAACTTAACCATTATGCCACTGGCCAGCCCCTCATGTGTTTCTTAATGATGGGGATATGTTGTTAGAAATGTGTCATTAGACGATTTTGTCATTGTGCAAACATCATAGAGTGTATTTACACAAACCTAAATAGTGTAGCTTACTACATACCTAAGCTATATGGTACTAAGCTTTTGGGACCACCATCGTATATGTGGTCTGTTTTTGATTGAAACAGTTGTGCAGCATGTGACTATAATAAAATGGCACCAATTCACTGAAAACCACCTGAGTCTCATCAGTGCTTGGTTCATTGACATTTTCCAGTTTTCTCTGCTTTCTACTGAATGAAATTACTAAGGTCTATACATCTGAATTTATTTTCTGACTTGCAAACAGAAGAACTAGAAAGCTTAACACAGAAAAATCTCAAGTTCCTTGTAGCCAAAGCTTATGTGCTGGGAAAAAATAATCTAAGACTTGTCCTTACCATCAAAAATATTCATGGGCACACCAGAATGACAGAATTAAGTCTATAACAAGATGTTCTTCTTATATAACATACTGGCTCTCTCTGTAACCAGATTGTGACTTCTTCCTGCCAGCCAAAAAGCTGATATATTCTTGGAAATGTCTCTTCCAGAATTAAAAGAAAAAAAGATAATTTACACTCTAGGAAATTATTTTGTCCACAAAAGAAACAGACGCATTCTCCCTTAAGGGACAAGGCCTCTTTGTCATTCTCTTATTTTTATAGAAGTCAAATTTGCTAAATATCAGTGTACGTTTTTATTAGGGAGATGGCTCTCCTGTTTCTACGGGATGTGTTGCTATTGTATTCTTATTATAGAACAGAAGTTCTCAAGGCTGGCTGCACATTAAATCACCTGCAGAGTCTTTAACTAATGCTTCTAATGCCTATGTGTCACCCTCCAGGGGCTTTGATTTAAATGACCTGGGGTGGCACCCAGGCAGTGGGTTGTTTTTCAAAGCTTCCCAGGCAATTCTACTGTGCAGCCAGGGTTGAGAACCATGGCTACAGGGTCAGTTTGTGTCTGTTTTTCTTTGTAATTGAGCACTGGAATCCTGGTTACCGGGACAGAATATTGACCTAAAGTGTTTTCACCTTCTAATGGCCAGGTATTCCCCTTACGGCTGGCTAGCTTAGGCTCAATGACGAACTTGAGCAAGGTCCAGAGGAGCATCAGCTGCACTGTGACCGTCATTTTATTCCTAAATCCAGGAGCCTTCCTGGAGATTTCCTCAGTCTCTCTCCTTCTGATGCTTTGGAACAGATGGATTGTCTTCACAAAACATTTTGCTATTTTTAATTTGTTTGATGATTTAAGGCCAGATTCTTCTCTCGGATTTCAAAGAAGCCTTCAGTGAGTTTCAAGGCAATCTCAAGTCCTACCATGTAAAGTGTATTCTCCCCTCCTCAGTGAATTACATGGCACCAAGTCCACTCTCCCTTTATTTTGTGATATCTATTTATCTCGTCATATTGCATCTCCCAATAAATGCAGGATTTAGCATTCTAATGCCTCACAATCTCTCCTCCATCTAGAATGCTCTCTTTAAAAAATTATATTTAATGCTGCTGACAGAAAAGGTATCTTTCTGTCCAATGCCACCTGCTATTCAAAAATATTCGATATTTGTTTCATATTTGTATTCAAGTTTTGCTCTTTAAGAAACGCTACTAGTGATGTAATAGGTGGCATCCCATTAAGTTACATATGTTCCTTTCAAGCATGCTTCAATGCTCTCATGAAATAAAGAAAATTGAATTTTGAAATGTAATATTCTGTATTCTGCCACCTGCAGAAAAGAAAGCATTATTAGCCTTTTAGGAGAGGGTTGGCAGTCAAGATTTACATTTTCCCTTTTCCAAATAAAATACGTCTACAATATTATAAGGTTTTGACATATTCTATCTTAATTAAATGCATGTAAATGGACACATTCTATGATTTAACTAGCAAATAAGTGTATTTAAAAATGAAATGTGCAAGTTCGTAGCAACTTAAATTGAATCAGCCTCTCTGGCAGTTTTTAAGGTAAGCCTGGAAGTTGTTAAAGTAAGGACATAATCTGAATTAAATGGTTTGGTTTTCCCCACCATCATAATTTCCTTTGGTAATGTTTCCTTAGTCTTTTTTGACTGGAGGGAAAGGGACTTAACTAATTTCTACACAGTAGAATATGTATGAGAGAAACCCCCACGAGATTTCATATGATGACATAACGTATTGCCTCCTCTACAGGGCCCTATCCAGAACCAATTGTACAATTTTGAAGCTTCATTATATTACTCTATTTAATTAATCTAACATCTGATTTTATTAGATTTTTCCCAACTGACAAAATCAAATAGTTCCTTTAACGGGATAATAAAACTAATTTAATTTTACATGTATTTTTCCATTTATTTTAGCAATCATAAACCCAAGTTTGGGAATGGCTTATTGTTGATC